TAATATTCGTCAAAACTCCGCCCATAGCTTCTAGTCCCTGTTGAACACATAAATTTAAAACATGACAGGCACACCGTTGATGCAGAAATCTACCCATAGCCGTAGACGGTGGGCAAATTTCTCTAAGTCTAGGAATGGCTGCAGTATTATTAGTAGCATTATCAAAACCAAATGAAAACACTTTGTCAGATAAGTTGTACTCCCGCAGAATACTCTGAAGCAATAGGAAAATATTTTCAGCAGTATGCTGTTCATTGAAATCAAGAAATGCAAGAACATGTTTATGCATAATCCAATCACTATCTATCCAATGACAAGTAACACCCATATAAGACAAATTATGATAAGTTTCACTCCAAATATCAGAACAAATAGCAACACGAGAATTAAAATTAAGAAAAAAATTTGCCAAATTTATTTTTCCATTTTTATACTGACGAATAATTTCTCGTTTAATTGTTTTTTTCTTGAAAAACCTCGTGCTTGAGGGTTTAATGCCTGTTGACAATAATCAATAAAATCAAGTTTCTCAGAAAACAGGTATGACAAATTTTCTTCACAAATCATTTCGGCCATTTTTTGCTTATTTTGCTCATCGCTATAAGCAAAAAGGCCGCCCTTACCTCTGTTAGCAAACCGAGAAATTTGGGTTTGCACTTCTTGTCGTCCCTTCTTTTTTGCCTCGTATTTGGCAAACTCCACGGGATGCCTCGACCTTAGGAGTTTTTCCGGACCGCCATAACCGCCGGAGACTCCCATTTTTATGACGGTCCACAATGTTTACAAGTTCCATAAACTGCGCCATCTTTTGTTTCTTTGTCAAAATGATAAACAAATAACTCTGATTTATATTTTTTTTTACCTTTATCCGGACCTCGAGAGGTCGCGGGCTCACCTGCCTCCACGTCGACGTCGTTGCTCTGCGGTGTAGGCTCCTCGTCCCCATCCAGATTATCCAGATTTGCTTCATCAATATCTTCGAATACACTATCAAGAGTGGGGAGATTTGCGTCCCCTCTACCAGAATAAATCTGGTCGAATTCTTCATCCGTCATAGCGTCCCAGATTAAGTGATCGGGGATAGTAGGAAAGGAAGAGACAGAGTGTCTTCCTCGAGAAACGCGTGAGGTCGAACCGTCGGAGGTGACTTTTGCTTTGCCTCTACTCGAACTTCGGTTCACGGCGCCCATATCCACGGATCTTCTACCGGACTCTCTCGACATTTTAATATATATATATTTTGATATAAAAAAATAATATATTAAATTTCGAAACTTTAAAAAAAATTCGAAATTTTATATATAAAAATTTCGAAAATTTCAAAAAAATAGAGAATATATTTAAAATATATATTATATATTTTTTGATATTAAAGAAATATTAAATTTCGAAAATTTCAAATAATTTCGAAATTTTTTATATTAAAATATAATATATTTAAAAAAAAATGTATAAAAGAGATAATAAGATATTAAGATTGAGAAATTAAAATGATAGATTGAGATATTGAAATTTGAGAG